CTACCAGTGTATGAATGCATTTTATCAGTTTTCATGGCTACCAGTGTCTGAATCTCTTTTTATACTACCAGTAGAATGGCTACCTTTTTATGAATTTTCATTCTACCAGTAGAATGGCTGATTTTCATAGTATGAATGTCACAATCTCTTTTTTAATACTGTAGTATTTTCATACTACCAGTGTCAGAATGGCTTTTTACCTGTATTTCCTGAATGCATACTTTTTTGCAGAATGGCTGCAATCTCTTTTTTAGTACTGATTTTCCTTACCAGTGTCTGAATCTTTTTAATACAATTTTCAGTAGAATGGCTGTCTCAGTTTAGTATGAATTTCATACTACCAGTAGAATCTCTTTTTAATAGATGATTTTTACATTCATACTACCAGTAGTATGAATCTCTTTTTATGGCACCCAGTTTTCATGAATGTCACAATCTTTTGTGTAGTAGAATGGCTACCAGTGTCTGAATGCATCTTTTTCATGGCTACTGGTTTTGAATACTACCAGTGTCAGAATCTCTTTTTATGATTTTCATACTACCAGTGTCTGAATGCATTTTAATCTGATTTTCAGTACCATGTCACAATCTCTTTTTAGTATTAATTTCATACTACCAGTGTCACAATCTCTTTTTAATACTGATTTTCATACTACTAGTAGAATAATCTCTTTTTAGCAGAATGTACTACCAGTGTCAGTCTCTTTTTAATACGAATTACTATCAGTGTCAGAATGGCTTTTATACTGATTTTCAAGCTACCAGTGAATGGCTCTTTTTAATACTGATTTCTCTTTTATGCTAATTTTCCACCAGTAGAATGGCTACCAATTTTTTGCAAGCTACCATGTCATGGCTCTCAGTATGCTGATTTTCCTACTAGTAGTCTGGCTCTTTTTTAATATGATTTCATACTACCAGTAGAATGGCTACCGGTAGTACTGATTTTCTCTTTTATGCTTTTCAGTAGAATGGCTACCAGTAATATGAATTTCATACTATCAGTGTCAATGGCTTTTTTATACTATGAATTTCTACTACCAGTGTCACAAATGCTTTTTCACCAGTAGTTTTTCTTATGCATACTATCTCTTTTTTATAGAATTTCATACCAGTGTCACAATCTCTTTTTACCAGTAGAATGGCTACCAGTGTCAGGAATCTCTTTTTACTAGTAGAATGGCTACCAGTAGTCTGAATGCTTTTAATCAGCTGAATACATTGTCATCTCTTTTTATGCAGAATTTCATACTACCAGTCAGAATGGCTACCAATACTATGAATTATGCATTTTCGCTACCAGTGTCAATGCAATCTTCTTTTGTAGAATGGCTAGTTTTAATTCATACTACCAGTAGAATGTCTCTTTTTAGTATGAATTTCATACTACTCTCTTTTTATGGCTTTTCAACACCAGTGTCTGTCTCTTTTATGAATTTTCATACTACCAGTGTCAGAATCTCTTTTAGTAGTGATTTTCATTCACTACCAGTGTCTGAATCTTTTTTATGCGGTTTTCATACTACCAGAATGCGTCTCTTTTAATGCTGATTTTCAGTAGAATGGTTACCAGTCTTTTAATACTTATTTTCATACTACCAGTGTCAGAATCTCTTTTAGAATGGCTGATTTTCATACTACCAAATGTCACAATCTACCAGTAGAATTTTTAGTATACTAAAGCTCCACTGGTAGTCACAATGCATACTATTTCAGTAGAATGGCTAATCTTTTTAGTATGAATTTCATACTACCAGTAGAATGGCTTTTTTAGTAGTATGAATGCAAGTACCAGTAGAATGGCTACCAGTAGTATGAATTTCGCACCAGTGTCAGAATGGCTGTTTTATGGAATGCATAGTACCAATGTCAGAATGGCTACCAGTAGTATGAATGCATACTATCAGTAGAATGGCTACCAGTAGTATGAATTTTCATATACTACCAGTAGAATGGCTACCTTTAGTATGAATGCATACTAGTAGAATGGCTTACCAGTAGAATGCAATGCATACCACCAGTAGAATGGCTACCAGTAGTGAATTTTCCTAATGTCATCCAATGAAGTAGACCAGTGTACACACTATCAGTAGTATGAATTTCATACTACCAGTAGAATGGCTACCAGTAGTATGAATGCATACTAATAGTAGAATGGCTACCTTTAGCATGAATTTCTTACCACCAGTAGAATGGCTTTTTAATAGTATGAATGCAAGCTACTAGTAGAATGGCTACCAGTTTAGTATGAATGCATACTATCAGTACTGAATGGCTACTTTTAATACTGAATTTTCCTACTACCAGTAGAATGGCTACTTGTACTGATTTTCATACTACCAGTAGAATTGCTACCAGTAGTATTAAATGCATCCTCTTTTTAGTAGAATGTCTACTCTTTTAGTATGAATGGCATACCATGCAGTAGAATTCCTACCAGTAGTATGAATTTCATACCATACCAGTGTCTAATCTCTTTTTAATACAGTTTTCATAGCACCAGTGTCTGTCTCTTTTTACCAGTTTCATGGCTACCAATGTAGTATCTCTGCAGACTGGTTTTCAGTAGTACCAGTGTCACAATCTCTTTTTTATGCGAATTTCATACTACCAGTGTGGCAACTCTTTTTATGAATTTCATACTACCAGTGTCAGAATCTCTTTTTTAGTACTGATTTTCATACTACCAGTGTCAGAATGGCTTTTTAATACTGATTTTCATACTATCAGTCTCAGAATCTCTTTTTAGTAGCGAATTTTCATACTACCAGCAGAATGGTTCTTTTAGCATGAATTCATACTACCAGTAGAATGGCTACCGGTTTTCATGAACTACCAGTGTCAAAATGGCTTTTAATAGTATTTTCATTACCATCAGTAGAATGGTTACCTCTAGTTTGAATGCATACTCACCAGTAGAATGTCTTTTCTGTCTTTTTATGAATTTTCATACTACCAGTGTCAGAATCTCTTTTTAATACTATTTTTCATACTACCAGTGTCCAATCTCTTTTTTAATGCTGATTTTTCATACTACCAGTGTCTGTCTCTTTTTTAGAATTCCTACCAGTGTCACAATCTCTTTTACCATCAGTTTCTTTGGCTACCTGTCTCTGAATTTTCATACCAGTTTTCATTTTATGCGGTAGAATGAGTCTTTTTAGCAGTTTTCGTATTCCAGTGTCATACTTTTTAGTAGAATTTTCATACTACCAGTGTCTGAATTAATACCAGCATTTTGGCTACCAGTAGTCCAATCTCTTTTTATACTGATTTTCAGCAGAATGGTTTTTTGTGCAGTTTTTTTACTACCAGTGTCTGTTTTTTTATACTGACCAGTGTCAGAATCTCTTTTTAGTAGTGATTTTCATACTACCAGTGTCTGAATCTCTTTTTAATATGAATTCATACTACCAGTCAGAATGGCTCTTTTTAGTATGATTTTCATACTACCAGTCTCGGCTTTTAGTATTTTCAATGCTACCAGTCAGTAGAATGGCTCTCTTTTATGAATTTTCATACTATCAGTAGAATCTCTTTTTTTATGCTGATTTTCATTCATACCCAGTCAGAATCTCTTTTTACCATTTTCATATGAATGTCATCTCTTTTTGTACCCAATCACTACCAGTGTCTGTCTCTTTTTTAATACTGTTTTCCCCATACTACCAGTGTCTGTCTCTTTTTTAGCAAGTTTTCATGCACACTACCAGTGTCACTATCTCTTTTTTTTACTGATTTTCCTTACACCAGTGTCTGGCAATCTCTTTTTGAATGCAGTTTTCATACTACCAATGGCTGTCTCTTTTTTAATATGAATTTCATACTACCAGTGTCAGAATCTCTTTTTTACCAGTAGTATACCAGTTTCCTACCAGTGTCAATGTCTCTTTTAATACTATGAATTTTCATACTACCAGTGTCAGAATCTCTTTTACACGCATTTTCAGTACTTACCAGTGTCTGTCTCTTTTTAATACTACCAGCAGTTTGAACTACCAGTGTCACAATCTCTTTTTAATACTGATTTTCATACTACCAGTGTCTGTCTCTTTTTATGAATTTTCATACTACCAGTGTCAGAATCTTTTTTAGTTAATACTTCATTTCATACTACCAGTGTCTGAATCTCTTTTTGTACTGATTTTCATACTACCAGTGTCAAATCTCTTTTTGAATACTAGATTTTCATACTATAGTGTCTGAAATCTCTTTTAATGCATTTTTCTTTACCAGTGTATGAATCATCACTTTTTTAATACTGAGTTTTCATACTACCAGTGTCAGAATCTCTTTTTTGTGCAATTTTCATGAATGCATACTACCAGTGTCATTTTTTTAATCATTTTCATTCAGTAGAATTTCTTTTTACTAATGCATACTACCAGTAGAATCTCTTTTTAATATGCGAATTCATACTATCAGCAGAATTTTCCATACTACCAGTGTCTGTCTCTCTTTTTTAATGAATTTTCCATACTACCAGTAGTACAATCTCTTTTTATCACTGATTTTCCTTAGTATGACTACCAGTGTCACAATCTCTTTTTAATACTGATTTTCATACTACCAGTGTCACAATCTCTTTTTTTTATTTTCTGAATTTTCATACCAGTGTCACAATCTCTTTTATACCATTCAGTGTACCAGTGTCACAATCTCTTTTAATACTGATTTTCATACTACCAGTGTCACAATCTCTTTTTTGCATGAATTTTCATACTACCAGTGTCACAATCTCTTTTTTAATGCATCATTTTCATGGCTACCAGTGTCACAATCTCTTTTTAATGGCTACCATTTTCATGAATGCATACTACCAGTGTGGCTGATCTCTTTTTAATGCATATTTTCCTTCATACTGTGTCTACCTCTTTTTAATACTGAATTTCATACTACCAGTGTCACCAATCTCTTTTTTTTAATACTGATTTCCTTTTAGTGTCACAATCTCTTTTTAATACTGATTTTCATACCACCAGTGTCACGTCTCTTTTTTTATGCTGATTTTCCTTACTACCAGTGTCCCGTGTCTCTTTTTAATACTGATTTCATTCTGCCAGTGTCTCTTTCTTTTTGTCACTGATTTTCCTTTACCAGTCTGTCTCTTTTTAATACTGATTTTCATACTACCAGTGTCTGTCTCTTTTTTACTGCGATTTTCATTCATACTACCAGTGTCACAATCTCTTTTTTACCACGAATTCATTACCAGTGTCACAATCTCTTTTTATCACTGATTTTCATACTACCAGTGTCACAATCTCTTTTATGCCATTTTCATACTACCAGTGTCATGGCTCTTTTTAATACCCGAATTTTCCTTCATACCAGTGTCAGAATCTTTTTTAATACTGATTTTCATACTACCAGTGTCACAATCTCTTTTTAATAGCTGATTTCCTTTACCAGTGTCACAATCTCTTTTTTGTAGCGAATTTCATACTACCAGTGTCATGGGCTCTTTTTATTGATTTTCCTTTTTACCAATGTCTGTCTCTTTTTTAATGATTTTCCTTACTGCAGTGTCTGTCTCTTTTTAATACTAATTTTCAGTAGAAGTGTCTGTTTTTTAATACTGATTTTCATACTACCAGTGTCTGTCTTTTTTACTGATTTTTCTTTCCTTACTACCAGTGTCTGTCTCTTTTTAATACTGATTTCATACTACCAGTGTCACAATCTCTTTTAATACTGATTTTCTTCCTTACTACCAGTGTCTTTTCTCTTTTTTGTGCTTTTTTCCTTTCATACCAGTGTCCTGTCTCTTTTTAATACTGATTTTCATACTTTCATCTCTTTTTTTAGTACTTTTCATACTACCCAATCTCTTTTTTAATACTGATTTTCATACTACCAGTGTCACAATCTCTTTTTTATGCCAGTTTTCATTCTACCAGTGTCACAATCTCTTTTTTTAATGATTTTCATACTACCAGTGTCACAATCTCTTTTTTAATGCAGTTTTCATACTACCAGTGTCACAATCTCTTTTTTAATAAATTTTCATACTACCAGTGTCTGCAATCTCTTTTAACTGATTTTCATTCTACCAGTGTCACAATCTCTTTTTATGCTGATTTTTCATACTACCAGTGTGTCTGTCTCTTTTATGCTGATTTTCATACTACCATTCTGTCTCTTTTTAATACTGATTTTTATACTACCAGTGTCACAATCTCTTTTTATCCCCATTTTCCTCCTACTACCAGTGTCACAATCTCTTTTTATGATTTTTCCTTTTCATTCATACCAGTGTCACAATCTCTTTTTATACAATTTTCCTTTACCAGTGTCTGTCTCTTTTTATACACCAATTTTTTCATTCTACCACCAGTGTCACAATCTCTTTTTAATACTGATTTTCATACCAGTGTCTCTCTTTTTGTGCAATTTTCATATACCCAGTGTTTCTCTTTTTTGTGCAGTTTTCCTTACAATGTCTTCTCTTTTTGATTTTCTGGTGTCACAATCTCTTTTTTGTACTACATTTTCCCATACTACCAGTGTCTCTCTTTTTATACCCATTTTTCATACTACCAGTGTCACAATCTCTTTTTAATGCTGATTTTCATACCAGTGTCAATCTCTTTTTTGTGCTGATTTTCATACTACCAGTGTCACAATCTCTTTTTTAATACCCCAGTTTTTCATACTACCAGTGTCTGTCTCTTTTAATACATTTTCGCCACTACCAGTGTCACAATCTCTTTTTAATGCTGATTTTCATACTACCAGTGCTACCATCTCTTTTTTTTTACTGATTTTCATACTACCAGTGTCACAATCTCTTTTTGTACTGATTTTCATACTACCAGTGTCTTTATGCAATTTCTCTTTTTAATACTGATTTTCATACTACCAGTGTCACAATCTCTTTTTTTGTACTGATTTTCTTCATGCTACCAGTGTCTGTCTCTTTTTTAATACTGATTTTCATACTACCAGTGTCACAATCTTTTTTAATACTGATTTTCATACTACCAGTGTCTGTCTCTTTTTACTGATTTTTTCATTCATACCCTCTGTCTTTTTATTACTGATTTTCATTCATGTCTACCAGTGTCCTTACTAATCTCTTTCTTTTTGATTTTCATACTACCAGTGTCACAATCTCTTTTTAGCTTTGATTTTCCTGCTACCAGTGTCACTCTTTTTTATATGCCATTTTCATACTACCAGTGTCACAATCTCTTTTTAATACTGATTTTCATACTACCAGTGTCTTGTCTCTTTTTATACTGATTTTCATGCTACCAGTGTCACAATCTCTTTTAATTTGTGCATTTTCATACTACCAGTGTCTGTCTCTTTTTTAATACTGATTTTCATACTACCAGTGTCTCTCTTTTTTAATGCCCATTTCCTTTACCAGTGTCACAATCTCTTTTTTGTGCAATTTTCCTTTTGCAGTGTCACAATCTCTTTTTATGCAATTTTTCATACTACCAGTGTCTGTCTCTTTTATACTGATTTTCCTTACTACCAGTGTCACAATTTTCATACTACCAGTGTCTGTCTCTTTTTAATACACCATTTCCCATACTACCAGTGTCTGTCTCTTTTTAATACTGATTTTCCTTACCAGTGTACAATCTCTTTTTAATACTGATTTTCTTACACTGTCTTTTATGCAATTTTCATTCATGCTACCAGTGTCTGTCTCTCTTTGTCAGATTTTTCCTACTAATGTCTTCTTTTTAATGCTGATTTTCGCTACTACAGTGTCTGTCTTTTTACCAGTTTCATTCAATCTGTCTCTTTTTTATGCAATTTTCATACTACCAGTGTCTGTCTCTTTTTTACTACCAGTTTCACAAGTGTCTGTCTCTTTTTGTCTGATTTTCCTTACTACCAGTGTCTGTCTCTTTTTGTGCAATTTTCTTTACCAGTGTCACAATCTCTTTTAATACTGTTTTCATACTACCAGTGTCTGACAAAATCTTTTAATACTGATTTTCATACTACCAGTGTCTGTCTCTTTTAATACCCCATTTTCATACTACCAGTGTCTGTCTCTTTTTAATACTGATTTTTCATACTACCAGTGTCACAATCTCTTTTTTATGCCCAGTTTTCATACTACCAGTGTCTGTCTCTTTTTTAATACTGATTTTCCTTTGCACCAGTGTCTGTCTCTTTTTATGCAATTTTCATTCATCTACAGTGTCACAATCTCTTTTTGTATACTTTTTTTCCTACTACCAGTGTCACAATCTCTTTTTTATGCTGATTTTCCATACTACCAGTGTCCAATCTCTTTTAATACTTTTTCATTCATGCTACCAGTGTCACAATCTCTTTTTTTGTCTTGGTTTCACTTCCATAATCTCTTTTGTCATTTTCATACTACAGTGTCTGTCTTTTTTTATGCCCCATTTTCCATACTACCAGTGTCACAATCTTTTTTATGCAATTTTTTACCGATGTCTGATCTTTTTATACTGATTTTTCATACTGCCAGTGTCACAATCTCTTTTTGATTTTTTTTTTTTAATACAATTTCTTTTTGTCAGTGTTTCTCTCTTTTTTGCAATTTTTTTCATACTACCAGTGTCTTTCTTTTTAATACTGATTTTCCTTTACCAGTGTCACAATCTCTTTTTAATACTGATTTTCATACTACCAGTGTCACAATCTCTTTTTTATCTTTTAATGATTTTCATACTACCAGTGTCACAATCTCTTTTTTGCTGATTTTTTTCCTTGTACTACCAGTGTCACAATCTCTTTTTTATTACCCCATTTTCATACTACCAGTGTCTGTCTCTTTTTAATACTGATTTTCCTTCTACCAGTGTCACAATCTCTTTTTTGTAATTTTCATTCATACTACCAGTGTCTTTTTAATGTGCAATTTTCCTTCCTTACCAGTATGTCACAATCTTTTTAATACTGATTTTCATACTACCAGTGTCTGTCTCTTTTTTTTTAATACTGATTTTCTCTTTTTATTACAGTGTTTCACAATCTCTTTTTCTTTTTATTTTCATACTACCAGTGTCAATCTCTTTTTAATGCTTTTTCATACTACCAGTGTTTTCTTTTTATGCTGATTTTCCTTTACCGTGTCTGTCTCTTTTTATTACTGATTTTCATACTACCAGTGTCCACAATCTCTTTTTTGTGCAATTTTTCTACCAGTGTCACAATCTCTTTTTAATACTGATTTTCATACTACCAGTGTCACAATCTCTTTTTTAATACCCATTTCATACTGCCAGTGTCACAATCTCTTTTTAATACTGTTTTCCTTTTACCAGTGTCACAATCTTTTTTAATGCTGATTTTCATACTACCAGTGTCACAATCTCTTTTTAATGCTGATTTTCAATACTGATTTTCCTGTCTACCATCTCTTTTTATGCTGATTTTCATACTACCAGTGTCGCAATCTCTTTTCATTTCTACCCAGTGTCTGTCTCTTTTTGTACTGATTTTCATACTACCAGTGTCTGTCTCTTTTTATGCAATTTTTCACATACTACCAGTTTTCTCTTTTTACCAGTTTCATACTACCAGTGTCTGTCTTTTTTATGCTGATTTTCATACTACCAGTGTCTGTCTCTTTTTAATCTTTTCCTTTACCAGTGTCTGTCTCTTTTTATTTTTCATACTACCAGTGTCACAATCTCTTTTATGCAATTTCACTGATGTCACAAGTCTCTTTGTACTGATTTCCTTACTACCAGTGTCCAATCTCTTTTTATGCTGGGTTTCCCTTGCTACCAGTGTCACAATCTCTTTTTTATGCTGATTTTCCATACCAGTGTCACAATCTCTTTTTATGCAGTTTCTGTACTACCAGTGTCACTCTTTAATCTCTTTTTTCATATACTGATTCTTTTGGCCTGGTGCCATACTTGCAGTGTCATCTCTTTAATGGGTTTTCATTCATACTACCAGTGTCTGTCATTTTACTACCAGTTTCCTTACTACCATCTCTTTTTAATACTGATTTCATTCATACTACCAGTGTCTGTCTCTTTTTAATACTGATTTTCATACTACCAGTGTCACAATCTTTTTTAATACTGATTTTTCATTCACTTTTACCAGTGTCACAATCTCTTTTTAATACTGATTTTCATACTACCAGTGTCACAATCTCTTTTTGTCTTATTTTCCTTACTACCAGTGTCACAATCTCTTTTTGTACTGAATTTTCCTTGCTACCAGTATTCTGTCTCTTTTTATGCTGATTTCCTTACTACCAGTGTCTAATCTTTTTTAATACTGATTTTCATACCAGTGTCTGTAATCTCTTTTGTACTGATTTCATACTACCAGTGGCCCGTCTCTTTTTAATACTGATTTCCTTCCTTGCCACCAGTGTCTGTCTCTCTTTTATGCCCAATTTTTTCATGTCTGTCCTTTTTCACAATCTTCTTTTACTACTCTTTTTTCCTTTTCATACTGCAGTGTCCTGTCTCTTTTTAATACTGATTTTCATACTACCAGTGTCACAATCTCTTTTTAATACTGATTTTTCACTACCAGTGTCTAATCTCTTTTTATTACTGATTTTCATACTACCAGTGTCACAATCTCTTTTTAATACTGTTTTCATACTACCAGTGTCACAATCTCTTTTAATGCCCCATTTTTCATGCCTACCAGTGTCACAATCTCTTTTTAATACTGATTTTCATACTACCAGTATCTGTCTCTTTTTTATGCAATTTTCATACTACCAGTGTCTGTCTCTTTTTAATACCAATTTTCATTACCAGTGTCTGTCTCTCTTTTTTAATACAATTTTCATACTACCAGTGTCTGTCTCTTTTTTATACTGATTTTCATACTACCAGTATCTGTCTCTTTTTATGCTGAATTTTCATACACCAGTGTCATAATCTCTTTTTGTTGCATCTTTTTTTAATACTACCAGTGTCTAATCTCTTTTTATGCAGTTTTCATACTACCAGTATCTGTCTCTTTTTATGCTGGTTTTCATACTACCCAGTGTCACAATCTCTTTTTTAATACTGTTTTCATACTACCAGTGTCACAATCTCTTTTTAATACTGATTTTTCCTTACTACAGTGTCACAATCTCTTTTTAATACTGATTTTCCTTACTACCAGTGTCACAATCTCTTTTAATACTGATTTTCATGCTACCAGTGTCACAATCTCTTTTTTAATACTAGTTTTTTACTACCAGTGTCACAATCTCTTTTTAATGCACTTTCCATGATTTTCTTTTATACTACCAGTGTCACAATCTCTTTTTAATACTGATTTTCATACTACCATTGTCACAATCTCTTTTTAATACTGATTTTCATACTACCAGTGTCACAATCTCTTTTTAATACTGATTTTTCATACTACCAGTGTCACAATCTCTTTTTTTAATACTGATTTTCATACTACCAGTGTCACAATCTCTTTTTAATACTGATTTTCCTTCACTTACAGTGTCACAATCTCTTTTTAATACTGATTTTCATACTACCAGTGTCACAATCTCTTTTTAATACTGATTTTCATGCCAGTGTCTGGTCTCTTTTAATGCTGATTTTCATACTACCAGTGTCACAATCTCTTTTTAATACTGATTTTTCATACTACCAGTGTCCTGTCTCTTTTGTGCAATTTTTCTTACTACCAGTGTCTGTCTCTTTTTATGCCCCAATTTTCCTTGTACTACCAGTGTCTGTCTCTTTTTAATACCATTTTCATACTACCAGTGTCCATCTCTTTTTATTTACTTTTCCATACTACCAGTGTCTCTCTCTTTTTGTATACTGATTTTCCTTACTACCAGTATGCATCTCTTTTATACTGATTTTCATTCATACTACCAGTGTCTGTCTCTTTTATGCAATTTTCATACTACCAGTGTCACAATCTCTTTTATGCAATTTCCTTACTACCAGTGTCGTCTTTTTTGTACTGATTTTTCTTACTACCAGTGTCTGTCTCTTTTTTATTGCTGATTTTTCCCCTTACTACCAGTGTCTGTCTCTTTTACTGCGTTTTCATACTACCAGTGTCTCTTTTTTTAATACTGATTTTCATTCTACCAGTGTCACAATCTCTTTTTTAATAATTTTCATGCACACCAGTGTCACAATCTCTTTTTATGCAGTTTTTCATACTACCAGTGTCACAATCTCTTTTTAATACTGATTTCATTACTACAGTGTCACAATCTCTTTTTTAATACTGATTTTCATACTACCAGTGTCACAATCTTTTTAATACTGGATTTTCATACTACCAGTGTCACAATCTCTTTTAATACTGATTTTTATACTACCAGTGTCACAATCTCTTTTTTTAATACTGATTTTCATACTACCAGTGTCACAATCTTTTTTTAATACTGATTTTCATACTACCAGTGTCACAATCTCTTTTTTTAATACTGATTTTCCATACTACCAGTGTCACAATCTCTTTTAATACCCAGTTTTCATACTACCAGTGTCACAATCTCTTTTTTTTCAATACTGATTTTCATACTACCAGTGTCACAATCTTTTTTAATGCTGATTTTCATACCACCAGTGTCACAATCTCTTTTTAATACTGATTTTCATACTACCAGTGTCACAATCTTTTTTGTACTGATTTTCATACTACCAGTGTCACAATCTCTTTTAATACTGATTTTCCTTACTACCAGTGTCACAATCTCTTTTTAATACTGATTTTCTACATACTACCAGTGTCACAATCTCTTTTTTAATACTGATTTTCATACTACCAGTGTCACAATCTCTTTTTTAATACTGATTTTTTTACCACCAGTGTCACAATCTCTTTTTTAATACTGATTTTCATACTACCAGTGTCGTCTCTTTTTAATACTGATTTTCATACTACCAGTGTCACAATCTCTTTTTTAATACATGATTTTCTTTTTATACTGATTTTCCACCAGTGTCACAATCTCTTTTTATACTGATTTTACTACCAGTGTCACAATCTCTCTTTTTAATACTGATTTTTCATACTACCAGTGTCACAATCTCTTTTTAATACTGATTTTCCTACTACCAGTGTCACAATCTCTTTTTTAATACTGATTTTCATACTACCAGTGTCACAATCTCTTTTTAATACTGATTTTCATACTACCAGTGTCACAATCTCTTTTTTAATACTGATTTTCCTACCACTAGTGTCAATCTCTTTTTTAATACTGATTTTCATACTACCAGTACAATCTCTTTTTATCACTGTTTCATACTACCAGTGTCTGTCTCTTTTTATCACTGATTTTCATACTACCAGTGTCACAATCTCTTTTTATCACTGATTTTGTACTACCAGTGTCACAATCTCTCTTTTTAATAATTTTCGCCACTACCAGTGTCCTGTCTCTTTTATACTGATTTTCTATTCATACTACCAGTGTCTGTCTCTTTTTTATGCTGATTTTCATACTACCAGTGTCACAATCTCTTTTTGTGCAATTTTCATACTACCAGTGTCACAATCTCTTTTAATACTGATTTTCATCCAGTGTCTGTCTCTTTTAATACCAGTTTTCATGCTAATGTCTGTTTTTTAATACTGATTTTCATTCATACTACCAGTGTCACAATCTCTTTTTAATACTGATTTTCTTTTGCACTGCAGTGTCACAACTTTTAATACTTTTTCATTCATACTGCCAGTGTCACAATCTCTTTTTAATACTGATTTTCATACTACCAGTGTCTGTCTCTTTTTTTTTCGCACTACCAGTGATTTTTTTTCATTTCTTTACCAGTGTCACAATCTCTTTTTTTAATACTGATTTTCATACTGTCACAATCCAGTGTCACAATCTCTTTTTAATACTGATTTTCCTTACTACCAGTGTCTGAATCTCTTTTTTAATACCAATTTTCATACTACCAGTGTCACAATCTCTTTTTTAATACTGATTTTCATACTACCAGTGTCACAATCTCTTTTTTTAATACTGATTTTCATACTACCAGTGTCACAATCTCTTTTTAATACTGATTTTTCATACTACCAGTGTCACAATCTCTTTTTTAATACTGATTTTCATACTACCAGTGTCACAATCTCTTTTTAATACTGATTTTCATGCTACCAGTGTCACAATCTCTTTTAATGCTGATTTTCATGCTACCAGTGTCACAATCTCTTTTTAATACTGATTTTCATACTACCAGTGTCACAATCTTTTTTTTAATACTGATTTTCATACTACCAGTGTCACAATCTCTTTTTTAATGCTGATTTTCATGCACTACCAGTGTCACAATCTCTTTTTTAATACTGATTTTTCATACTACCAGTGTCCACAATCTTTTTTTTTAATACTGATTTTCCATACTACCAGTGTCACAATCTCTTTTTAATACTGATTTTCATACTACAGTGTCTGATCTCTTTTTAATACTGATTTTCATACTACCAGTGTCACAATCTCTTTTTAATACTGATTTTCATACTACCAGTGTCACAATCTCTTTTTAATACTGATTTTTCATACTACCAGTGTCACAATCTCTTTTTAATGCTGTTTTCATACTACCAGTGTCACAATCTCTTTTTTGTACTGATTTTTCATACTACCAATGTCACAATCTCTTTTAATACTGATTTTCATACTACCAGTGTCACAATCTCTTTTTTAATACTGATTTTCATACTACCAGTGTCACAATCTCTTTTTAATACTGATTTTCATACTACCAGTGTCACAATCTCTTTTTAATACTGATTTCATACTACAGTGTCACAATCTCTTTTTAATACTGATTTTCATACTACCAGTGTCACAATCTCTTTTTAATACTGATTTTCCTTACTACCCAGTGTCACAATCTCTTTTTTAATACTGATTTTCATACTACCAGTGTCACAATCTCTTTTTAATACTGTTTTCATACTACCAGTGTCACAATCTCTTTTTAATACTGATTTTCCTTTTCCCAGTGTCACAATCTCTTTTAATACTGATTTTCGCTTACTACCAGTGTCACAATCTCTTTTTAATACTGATTTTTCATACTACCATGTCACAATCTCTTTTTTAATACTGATTTTCATACTACCAGTGTCACAATCTCTTTTAATACTGATTTTTCATGCTACCAGTGTCACAATCTCTTTTTAATACTGATTTTCATACTACCAGTGTCACAATCTCTTTTTTAATACTGATTTTCATACTACCAGTGTCACAATCTCTTTTTCCCAATACTGATTTTCAATACTACCAGTGTCACAATCTCTTTTTTTAATACTGATTTTCATACTACCAGTGTCACAATCTTTTTAATACTGATTTTCATACTACCAGTGTCACAATCTCTTTTTAATACTGATTTTCATGCTACCAGTGTCACAATCTCTTTTTAATACTGATTTTCATACTACCAGTGTCACAATCTCTTTTAATACTGGTTTCATACTACCAGTGTCACAATCTCTTTTTAATACTGATTTTCATACTACCAGTGTCACAATCTCTTTTTAATACTGATTTTCTACTACCAGGTGTCACAATCTCTTTTTTTAATACTAGTTTTCATACTACCAGTGTCACAAAATCTCTTTTTAATACTGATTTTCATACTACCATTGTCACAATCTCTTTTTAATACTGATTTTCATACTACCAGTGTCACAATCTCTTTTTTAATACTGATTTTCATACTACCAGTGTCACAATCTCTTTTTAATACTGATTTTCATACTACCAGTGTCACAATCTCTTTTTAATACTGATTTTCATACTACCAGTGTCACAATCTCTTTTTAATACTAATTTTCAGCCACTACCAGTGTCACAATCTCTTTTTTAATACTGATTTTCATACTACCAGTGTCCACAATCTCTTTTTTTAATACTGATTTTCATACCAGTGTCACAATCTCTTTTTAATGCTGATTTTCCTTACTACCAGTGTCACAATCTCTTTTTTAATACTGATTTTCATACTACCAGTGTCACAATCTCTTTTTTAATACTGATTTTCATACTACCAGTGTCACAATCTCTTTTTAATGCACTGATTGTCCCAATCTCTTTTTTATGCTTTTTCCTTACCCAGTGTCACAATCTCTTTTTTAATACTGATTTTCATACTACCAGTGTCACAATCTCTTTTTTAATACAGATTTTCATACTACCAGTGTCACAATCTCTTTTAATACTGATTTTCATACTACCAGTGTCACAATCTCTTTTTTTAATACTGATTTTTCATACTACCAGTGTCACAATCTCTTTTAATACTGATTTTCATACTACCAGTGTCACAATCTCTTTTTTAATGATTTTTCATACTACCAGTGTCACAATCTCTTTTTAATACCCAGTTTTTCTACTACCAGTGTCACTGTCTCTTTTTAATACTGATTTTCATACTATATGTCACAATCTCTTTTTAATACTGATTTTCATACTACCAGTGTCACAATCTCTTTTTATGCTAATTTTCTTTTTAGTGTCTGTCTCTTTTATGCAGTTTTCATACTACTAGTGTCTGTCTCTTTTTCATGCTGATTTTCATACCCAGTGTCTGTCTCTTTTATGCAATTTTCATGCACCAGTGTCTGTCTCTTTTTGTCTGATTTTCATACTTACAGTGTCATCTCTTTTTAATGCAGTTTTCTACCAGTGGCCACAGTCTGTGCAGTTTTTCTTTGCTAGTGTGCGTCTTGTGCTGATTTTCATGCTACAAGATGTGCAATCTGCTTGTGCAATTTTCCTTTTAGTATTTTAATCTCTTTTATACAATTTTCATACTACTGTGTCATCTTTTTTATTTAATTTCATACTACCAGTGTCACAATCTCTTTTTCATTTTCTGATTTTTTATACTGACCAGTGTCACAATCTCTTTTTTAATACTGATTTTTCATACTACCAGTGTCACAATCTCTTTTTTAATAACCAGTGTCTGTCTCTTTTTATGCTGATTTTCATACTACCAGTGTCTGTCTCTTTTTTAATGCTGATTTTCATACACCAGTGTCACAATCTCTTTTATGCAATTTTTCATACTACCAGTGTCACAATCTCTTTTTAATGCTGATTTTCCTCTCTTTGTCACAATCTCTTTTAATGCTGATTTTCATACTACCAGTGTCACAATCTCTTTTTAATACTGATTTTCCTTACAGTGTCACAATCTCTTTTAATACTGATTTTCATACTACCAGTGTCTGTCTCTTTTTAATACTGATTTTCCCTTACCTACCAGTGTCACAATCTCTTTTAATGCTGATTTTCATACTACCAGTGTCTGTCTCTTTTTGTACTGATTTTTCATACTACCAGTGTCTGTCTTAGTTTAACACAATACTGGTGGGAGTTTACTACCAAACATTATTGTTTTGGCTAATATGGAAAGTTATAATCTTGATGAAAAATATACTTCCCAATTCTAAATATAGTTCTTTTAATACTTCTTTACTATCAAACTGATGTTTTGCTAATATGGAAAGTTTACTAGAAAAATATACTTCCTAAACAAATATAGTTGTTTTAATAATTGATGGGAGTTTACTACCAAACATTATTGTTTTGGCTAATGTGACAGTTATAATCTTGATAGAAAATACTTTACAATTCCACTAAATATTATAGTTCTTTTCTAATACAGTGGAGTTTACTACCAAACATTATTGTTTTGGCAGTTATAATCTGATAAAAATATACTAATTCCACCAAATATTATAGTTTTTTCTTAATTTTGAGTTTAACCAAAATATATTGTTTTGCTAATTGGAAAGTTATAATCTTGATAGAAAAATATACAATTCCACTAAATATTATAGTTCTTCTAATAATTGATGGGAGCTTTACCCAAACATTATTGTTTTGGCTAATATGGAAAGTTATAACTTGATAGAAAATATACTTTTAACTCCACTAAATATTATGCAGTTCTTTCTAATACTGATGGGAGTTTACTACCAAACATTATTATTTTGGCTAATATGGAAAGTTATAATTTTGATAGAAAAATATACTTCCCAATTCACTAAATATTATAGTTCTTTCTAATACTGATGGGAGTTTATCAAACATTATTGTTTTGGCTAATATGGAAAGTTATAATCTTGATAGAAACATACTTCCAATCTTGAGAAAAATAGTTCTTTAATTCCACAAATATGGGAGTTCTTCTACCAAACATTTATTTATTTTTTATTAATATGGAAAGTTATAATTTTGATAGAAAAATATGCCCCAATTCACTAAATATTATAGTTCCTTCAATACTGATGGAGTTTACTGCAAACATTATTGTTTTGGCTAATATGGAAAGTTATAATCTTGGGAGAAAATATACTCTAGATTCCACTAAATATTATAGTTCTTTCTAATACTGATGGGAGTTTACTACCAAACATTATTGTTTTGGCTTAATATGGAAAGTTATAATTTTGATAAAAATATACTTTTAATTCCACTAAATATTATAGTTCTTTTCAATACTGATGGAGTTTACTTACCAAACATTATTGTTTTGGCTAATATGGAAAGTTATAATCTTGATAGAAAAATATACCCCAATTCACTAAATATTATAGTTCTTTCTAATACTGTGGAGCTTACTACAAACATTATTGTTTTGGCTAATATGGAAAGTTATAATTTTGATAGAAAAATATACTTAATTCCACAAAATATTATAGTTCTTTTCTAATACTGATGGGAGTACTACAAATTATTGGTTTTGGCTAATATGGAAAGTTATAATCTTGATAGAAAATATACTTCCCAATTCCACTAAATATTATAGTTCTTTCTAATACTGATGGAGTTTACTACCAAACATTATTGTTTTAGCTAATATGGAAAGTTATAATCTTGATAGAAAAATATACTTCCCAATTCCACCTATTATAGTTTCTTTCTAATACTGATGGGAGTTTACTACCAAATATTTATTGTTTTGATTATAATATGGAAAGTTAAATACTTGATTCCAAAAATATTTATAGTTCTTTCTAATTGATGGGAGTTTAAATATTAAGTTGTTTTCTAATACTGATGGGAATCTTTGATAAAAATACCAATTCCATTATTGTTTTGGCTGGGGATTGCTACCAAACATTATTATTTTTTGGCTTCAATAGAAAAAAATATTGATGAAAAAATACTTTAATTCCACTAAATATTATAGTTCTTTAATACTGATGGGAGTTTACTACCAAACATTATTGTTTTGGCTAATATGGAAGTTATAATCTTGATAGAAAAATATACTTCCCAATTCCACTAAATATTATAGTTCTTTCTAATACTGATGGGAGTTACTATCAAACATTATTGTTTTTGGCTAAATATGGAAAGTTATAATCTTGATAGAAAATATACTTCCAATTCACTAAATATTATAGTTCTTCTAATACTTGATGGAGTTTACTACAAACATTATTGTTTTGGCTAATATGGAAAGTTATAATCTTGATAGAAAATATACTTCCAATTCCACTAAATATTATAGTTCTTTTCTAATACTGATGGAGTTTACTACCAAACATTGTTTTGGCTAATGTGAGAAAGTTATAATCTTGAGAGAAAAAATACTTCCCAATTCTACTAAATATTATAGTTCTTTCTAATACTGGATGGGAGTTTACTACCAAACATTATTATTTTTTGCTAATATGGAAATTTATAATCTTGATAGAAAAATATACTTAATTCCACCACTAAATATTATAGTTCTTTCTAATACTGATGGGATTTACCTTAAACATTATTGTTTTTGGCTAATATAAAGTTATAATCTTGATAGAAAAATATACCCAATTCCACTAAATATTATAGTTCTTTCTAATACTGATGGGGTTTACTACCAAACATTATTTATTTTGGCTAATATGGAAAGTTATAATCTTGATGAAAAATATATTTGGTCCCCAATTATAGTTCTCTAAAATATTATACCAAAACTTTTCTTTTGGCTTTAATACTGATGGAGTTTACTACCAAACATTATTATTTTTTCTAATACTGATGGGGTTCTACCAAACATTAATTTTTAGCTAATATGATAGAAAAATATACTTCCCAATTCCACTAAATATTATAGTTCTTTCTAATACTGATGGGAGTTTACTACCAAACATTATTGTTTTAATGTGGACAGTTATAATCTTGATAGAAAAACTTCCCACTTCCACTTCTTATATTATAGTTTCTTTCTAATACTGATGGGAGTTTACCTACTAAACATTATTGTTTTAGCTAATGTGGAAAGTTATAATCTTGATAGAAAATATACTTTAATTCCACTAAATATTATAGTTCTTCTAATACTGATGGGAGTTTACTACCAAACATTATTGTTTAAGCTAATATGGAAAGTTATAATTTTGATAGAAAAATATACTTCCCAATTCCACTAAATATTATAGTTCTTTCTAATACTGATGAGGTTTACTGCAAAACATTATTGTTTTGGCTAATATGGAAAGTAATAACTTTGATAGAAAATATACTTCCCAATTCCACTAAATATTATAGTTCTTTCTAATTCTGATGGGAGTTTACTATCAACATTATTGTTTTGGCTAATGTGGACAGTTATAATCTTGATAGAAAAATATACTTCCCCAATTCCACAAAATATTATAGTTCTTTCTGTATATACTGATGGAGTTTAATACCAAACATTATTGTTTTGCCTAATGGGACAGTTATAATCTTGATAAAAAATACTTCCAATTCCACTAAATATTATAGTTCTTTCTAATACTGATGTGGAGTTATACTAAACATTATTGTTTTGGCTAATAACTGGAAGTTATAATCTTGATAGAAAAATATATTTAATTCCACTAAATATTATAGTTCTTTCTAATACTGATGGGAGTTTTACTACCAAATATTATTATTTGGCTAATATGGAAAGTTATAATCTTGATAGAAAAATAATTCCACTAAATATTAGTTCTAAATGATGGGGAGTTTACTAGTTCTTTTTAATACTGATGGGATAATCTTACTATAACAAAACATTATTGTAGTTCTTTCTAATGGAAATTTATAATCTTGATTAGAAAAAATATAAAGTCCCAATTCCACTAAATTCATTATAGTTCTTTTAATACCTGATGGGAGTTTACTACCAAACATTATTGTTTTTCGCTAATATGGAAAGTTATAATCTTGATAGAAAATATACTTCCCAATTCCACTAAATATTATAGTTCTTTCTAATACTGATGGAGTTTACTACCAAAATATTATTGTTTTGGCTAATATGGAAGTTAAATCTTGATAGAAAAATATACTTCCCAATTCCACTAAATATTATAGTTTCTTTCTACTGATGGGAGTTTACTTACCAAACATTATTATGTTTTGCTAATATGGAAAGTTATAATCTTTGATAGAAAATATACTTCCCAATTCCACTAAATATTATAGTTCTTTCTAATACTGATGGAGTTTTCTGAACATTATTGTTTTGGCTAATATGGAAATTTATAATCTTGATAGAAAAATATAATTCCCAATTCCACTAAATATTATAGTTCTTTTAATACTGATGGGAGTTTTATTGTTTGGCTACCAAACATTATACTTTAATTGGTTCTTTCCTAATATG